TGGATATTTAAGTGTGCGATATCATTTTTTTATTTGGATTTTCAACTTATGTTCAAATGGTTTCATTCTCATAATATAGTTTTATGTATTTATATGTGATGTTAACATTTTTTTTAAGAATGTTTTAAACTTGAATTTGATATATCTAAACAAAACTATTATGAATATTTAGGATTAATATTTTTATGTATGTATTTTATATAATTATAACTATTATTCAATAATCGGCTAATGCTACAAAATATTCTATGGCTTTAGTTTAGGAGTATGATAACGATTGTGTTTGTTAATTGTTCTAAAAAATTGATTAAAAAGTTCGCCCAAAAAAATAATATAGAAAAGTGAGAGAGAAATATGTCCAAAATCACAAAATAAGTATAATAGACAAACTAAGAAAATTTATTTTGTTATCAAAAAATATCGAATTAACATAAAACTTTTTATCAGCCGTAATAATAACATTTTTTATAAACAATATATCAAGTTTAATGATATAATATATATCCAAGATAAAGTTCAATTATATTTTTTAGACAAAAATAAAATTTTCCAATTCTTCTTGGTTATATTCGTTCAAAAGATAATAGGTTAGATAACATTTTTTAATTTATATATGTATACTTTCTTTTTCGGTGTAGTCGAGAAGTACCTTATATATTTGGTCTTGAAGACTATAACTAATTTTAAAGTTAAGTTTATTTTGAAAAAAAAAAACATTTAGGTCTAAAATGGAAAAAACTACAAAATATAAGGTCTTTAATGAAACAAAAATACCTAATTTACTTATTGGTGACCTGCTAGGGTCTAAAATAACAAGTAACAGGTAAAAGTTGGGTCTTTTTCGGAAAAGAAAAATATTCTAAGTCTAAAAACAAAAAAAAAAAATCAAAATATAAGGTCTTTTATGGAAATTACTCTCGTCAAACCAAACCTAGCGGAGGGCATTCATATATAAGACCATCAAAAGTACTTCATTACATTCTTAGGCAAAAAAATATTATCTTAGCTTCAATATATATATATATATATATATATATATATATAATATATATATATATATATATATATATATATATATATATATATGAAAAAACATCATAAGTGGTCCTTGTCGATTCCCAAAATCTAAAGTTTAGTCATCGTGGTTTAAAAACGTCATAGATGGTCCCTATGCTTTCAAAACTTTTAACGATTGGTCCTTATTGCTAACTCCGTTAACTTTTGTCCATTAACTGAAGGGCATTTTTGTCATTTCACTACCATAGGAACCATTTATGATGCTTTTTCTTATTAAAAAAAACAATTAAATAAAATCTCTCTCTCTCTCTCTCTCTCTCTCTCTCTCTCCCTCTCGATTCTATGGTTCATAAAACACTCATTTTTGTCAGCCATAAAAACAGTGAAGCGATTGTTGGTTCTTCCATTCTTCCCAAAAGAATCGTAGATTCGTATTTCAAATAATTCAAGGTAAGAGCAATGTGTTTGGGAGCATAATCATGGGGAATCGCTAATTTCGCTACTCAATTTTGCCATTTATGTGTGTATTACATTCAAGAAAAAGCTTAATGTAGATGAGCAAACAATTGGTTGTTCAGTTGAGACCATAATCATGAAGTGTAATTTGCTTCTACTGTTCTTCTTGTTGTTCTTTCGAAGTACATTTTAACATCAACACTGGTCTATCCCATTTAAAAGGAACCCCATTTTGGAGTCGAAACCCTAAATTTCAGTTGATGCTCTTGCCAATTTCACTAAATTGATTTCGTTTAATGCCTCAGGATTCTCACTTCCAAGTTCAATACTGAATTGGTCAGGGCTTCATCTTCCAACCCTTAAGTTTCCTGATCTTAGTTCTTGTGAAATCTTTAGTGCTATTCCTTCGGGCATGATGAGTGTTGCAATATCGAATGAACCACAACAAATGACCCTCTTAAATACTTGAAATCCATAGTAATCGCAACATGGACTAGAGACGGATCGCATACATTCCTTGAACCTCTCTTTGGTTCACATCCAACGACATTACGGAATGTAGAAGCTCTACGAAAGGAGGCTACGTTGCCTGGATTATAACCATTGGGAAGACGAATGGCTCCATCAATATGAGTATGAGAAAATCATATGGCTTTAGCAGGATGAAAAGATTGGAGAGAAGGAGCTAGAACAATCATGACCATTGTAGTAGATACAAATCCAAGAAATCTGATTATCCATTGCATCTTATAATTGTTAACCACCCTTCTGATTTTTAATTGAAAATCAACATGGTCTGGGTTTGTCGAAAAATATGAAAGTGAAGCAAAAAGGAACGATATGGTTGTTCCGTCAGAATTGAAAGGTAAATGAATTGGGGAACCGGGACTAATTTTTATAAATCTATACTTGAACTTTTACTATTAATCAGATGAAGATGCTGCCATAGTAAGGGATCAAGTTCTTCTGTTACATAGAAAAGGGCAATGGAAGAAAAAAGAGGAGAATCCCCCCCCCCCCCCCCCCCCCCCAAGTCTTCGATGGAGAGAGAGAGAGAGAGAGAGAGAGCTTTTATTTAATTATTTTCTTTTTAAAGAATTAGATAAAACATCATAAATGGTCCTTGTGGTAGTGAAATGATGACAATACTCTTCAATTAACGGACAAAAGTTAACGGAGTTAGCAATAAGGACAAATCGTCAAAAGTTTTGAAAGCATAGGGACCATCTACGATGTTTTTAAACCATGGGGACTAAACTTCAGATTTTAGGAAACCACAGGGACCATTTATGATGTTTTCCCTCTCTCTCTATATATATATAGGGCCGGCCGGGAGATTAAGGAGGCCATGTGCAATTCAACAAAAATAGGCCCTAAAACATGAATGACCTAAAATTTAAGCAAAAAAATTATAATTTTTCGGATTCAATTGCAAAATGGACACAATACAAGCTCATTCAAATAATTTACAAAAAAGATATTTTCTTCCACTTAAAAATATTTACCTTTCTAATATTCATTATAATAATTCTTTAAATAAACATTTCAATAGCTTTCTCTCGATCTTCATCAAAACCAATCCATAATTGGTTCTTGAGTTGATATAGATCATAGGTAGAACTTCAATATGCAAATCTGTAAGTAGCTTCTTTGTTCTTGATTCAATTCTTGAAAAAATAATCTTTGATTTTCTTGTAATAAAACTGTAAAAATCTAAAAATAAAATTAAGAAGTTACACTATCAGGAAAAAACTCTGATTTGCTTCTAATAAAATAATCAGAAATCAGAAAGACACTTCAAAAAAATCTGAAATAAAATTTTGTAAACCCCAGTAATTGATTACAGTCAAAGGATCATTGGTTCGATGCATCTAAATTCAAGAAGATACGAATCATAAAGAAAAAACACTGATTTACTTCTTCTAAATCACAAACTTATCAAAAATAACATTAAAAACCGAACTTAAAAGGAAAAATAACAGATTTTAATTTGCTTGTATAATTGTACCTTCAAAAATCTAAAATTAATTTCCTTTTCCTTATGATTTTCGAAACTGATTTCCTTGTGCCTTTTGATTTTCGAAATTGATTTTCTTGTTCCTTTAAAAACAAACCAACTTTAAAGTTAAAAAATCGAACCTGTATAAAAATGAAACAGAAAAAAAAATCAGAAATTCCTTACCTTCTGATTTCGAATCCTCAAGCAAGATTAAATTTGGAGCTTCTAAATTTTGATTTTCGAGAAGAAACTAGAACGATTGTAAGATTCAGTTTTTTTTCCAGAGATTATAAATATGCAACAATCAAAATTGTGTTTTCGAGAAGAAATAAGAAATTGGTAGGATTGTAAGAACCAAAAGCAACTTATTTGCCTATGAAATCGTCTGATACTACACAAACAATAATCCCATTGATTGTTGTTTCTCATGCGTAAGCGTAATCAGCAAACTAGAAATTAAAGAGTTTTTTTTTTTTTTTCTTTTACCAAGTTTCAGATTTCCCGCTCACTCCCTGCTATTGCGTCTTGCATCTAACAACTTAGTGATCGTAAAACCTAATTTGATTTGGGCTAAAATTGATGATAGGCTATACACGCTAAAAATTTGTGGGCCCTATCATTCAGTGAGCCATGTTCATGAGCACGTGTTGAACTCCCAAGGGATCGTCTCTCTCTCTCTCTCTATATATATATATATATATATATATATATATATATATATATATATATATATATATATATATATATATAGAGAGAGAGAGAGAGAGAAAAGACATGAGAAGAAAAGAGATATAGAAAGAGGACGAAATCTTATCTCTCATTTGTTACTATGCATAGTGCATATATGACAGTTTGGTTCTGCTATCGACTAAAATCGAAACAAAACTATTACACTTGGTTAATACATTTTAGTAGTAATTCATTACCCGTTAGTATTGATTTCGCTTAAGGGTATTAATCGGTTAAAGAGTTTGGTTGATGGTTAATATTGGTTAATTATAACGGTTAAAAATGACATGAAAATTAAAAAATATGTTGCTAAAAAGGTATAAATAAATCGTAGTAATATATAAAATAAATTGGAACTCATATACAAACATCGCTTTTGAATCTCTCTTCCAGTTTATTATTTTTCTTTATGCACTTAAGTTTCGTATTTTTAATTATTTACACACAAATATTTTAATGATGATAATTATTAAAAGTTTAATTGGATAATATTGCTCTTGCACAAGTATACTCGGTGAATATTAATTTCATTTCATTTTATAATTTAGTGTCACTCTTAAACCATGTAAAGCATATATCTAAATCATATAGTTATGATTTTTATAATAAAAACATTTTCTAAAAGTGAGGAAAATAAATATCAAAGAGAAAGAACATGGAAGAGTACGTCTAGCTTTGCCGTAAGTTTTTACACGTTTTTTTGCGGCAATGTATACTTTTTTAAATTAAAATTAATGAATGAATGTTCAAATAATAAGCGTGCATAAAAATAAGTACAAAATAAAAAAATTAAATAGAGAAGTAGAAAAACTTGAATTTAAATACTTCAAACATTCGACCACCTTTAATTTATACTACCACATACATAACAAAAGCAAATAAAAATTTAGATTTTCTTAAGTTAAGGAATAAAAGTTATCAGAAAAAACCATATTATATATACTACAGGAGCTAAACACGAAAATTCTAAAAATGAAGGCGGTAAGAATAACATTTTATAAAGTTAAAAGTTGAGGAGATGAAAGTAACATTTTTAAAATAGAGGAGTAGAAAATATATTTTATATAGTAGAGGAAGTTGAGGGGGCAAATGTAATATTTGCAAATTAGGAAGGTTGCAAGTGACAGATTTTATAAAGTTGAAGGATTAAAGTTGCATTTTATGCATTACTATGCTTGTACTTTGTGCTTGAAGAGTTGTACTAATTCAACTAAAGTTGCCTTCCCTCGTATAATTATATTTTTTAAATTTCAAGTATTTATATAACAAGAGTTGTACTAATTCAACTAAAGTTGCCTTCCCTCGTATAATTATATATTTTAAATTTCAAGTATTTATTAGTTATAATGATTCAATTCGGTTATATATTAGGTGGTTTTACGATAAAACCAAAACCGAACCCTTTGAATTCGGTTAATGAAATCAAAAAGTTTAGCATCATTTTCTATTCTTGTTTGGTTGTATCGGTTATTTTGGTTACAATTCGGTTCTTGGTTTTTATACTCGTCCCTAGGACTGTAAACGAACTGAACGTTCAACGATTTATTTGTGAAACGTTCAACGAATTATTTGTGAAACGTTCGGCGGGAAGTTCGTACTTGTTCATTTATTTAATAAATGAACAAACATAAACACAAATTTTCATTCGTTTAGTTAAACGAACGAAAATTAACATTAGTCTCATTCGTTTAATTATGTTCATAAAAATTTGTTTATGTTGTTCGTTTACGTTCATTTATGCTCTTTCATAGATTTTTTTTTTAATTTTTTTAATTTTTTATGTTTCTATACGCTTAATTATGTTTTATTATATTACTATATTATATGTTTATGTATGGTTAATTACGTTTGTTTATCTTTATTCATTTATGTTTGTTTGTGACATCCCTATTTTTCATGGTATGAAAAGACTTTTTTATTTATGTTTATTTTAAATCATAATGATCTTTATTTTAAACTTATAGAGATTTTAGCAATAACCAGGAAATTAGGCGGGCAGAATCCCAACCCGAAAGCTTCTATCTATCGGACCCTCTAATGCATTAGAGCCCCGCTACTAACATATGAAAACCCCTAAAATTAGACCTAAATGAATATGGAGGTTTGAGAGTGTTTTAGAAGCTTTTAGGTGAGAAATGAAATGAAATTGCAAGAATATATATAGTTTGTCGAGAGGCACCCACTCTCTCTTGTTGTGCTAGCCTCTCTCAGTCGTTGCCACGTTTCGTGCCCGTATCTCGTCACGTCATCTCTTCTAGCAGGTAGCCATGTGTCCCATTTTGTGGCATGATGTATCTTATTCTCATGGTGACATGTCTCATTGTCTCAAGGGAGAGCCTAATCTTCGACCATGCCACATGGCGCACTCTGGTGCTACCACATCACCAATGCAAATATTTTCTTGCAGGTCTTCAGACAACCATAATTTTCGCCTACGAGCTTCGTTTTCGACGTTCATTATATATCTAGAATCCTGTCGACGAGCTATACAACATTCAGTAAGGTATCAACTGCTAATTCTCACTCTAACTAAAATTCATATTTAGAGCAGTTTAGACTGTTAAAGCCCATGCGAAATCCATAAATCCTTCAAATGAATTTCGTTCTCGATTTTCTTTATATGGACAGGTTCATATTTATGAGATATTGAAATCTTGTTTAGATTTTTTGGGTAAGAATCAACCGGTTTGAATTTCGATTTCTATGTTCGCACTGTCGCACTGAAACTTTGAAAGATCATAACTTCCTCTCACGAAGTCAGATTTGGGTGTTCTTTATATGCACGCTATCGATTTTACGACTACTACGACTTTCTTTAAGATCACTTAGGCTAATAAGCAATCTATCAAAAATTCATTGTTTGTGATACGCAGAGATGTGTCGGTTTACGTAACGTCCGACTCTTGAGGTACATTATTCATAATTAAATTATCATTTTGAGGATCGCCACTGTGTGGTGGAGGCACCACCACGGCATGGCGAGGTAAGAAGGGTTCACGTGTTTCATTTAAGCCACCACGACGTGGCAGTATTGGCCACAGCGTGGTGGACGATTGGCGTGAAATCCCTAATTTTTCTGGGTTTTCTCCTTATTTAAAGGAATGAGGAGGCTAGTGTTTTCTCATCCTCAGCCTCCATCAGCCCTGTCAAGCCCTAAAGAAAACCCTAATCACTTTCATCAATTATTGAGCTAGTTTTGGTGTTCCTTGAAGCTAAAGAAGGAAGAAGGAAACAAAGATCAAGCAATCAAGTCTCCATTCTTCATCTTAACACTATTTTGGACCTTTGTAAGTGTCTAAGACTTGATTTTTATCATGGTAAGTTGCTAGATCTTGATTTTTGTCCCAAAAACTTCTTGTTCTTGTTGATTGGGATGGTGAGATCTCTTAAAGTTTGCAACTTTATAAATCTTTGGGGTATTTTGGGTAATTTGTGCCATAGATCTGGAGTTTGGTTGGGTTTTCAATCCATGCATGAGATTTAGTCATAAACCCTTATTTTGACCTAATATGGGTTCAAGACATACATCGGACATGTATGTCTATAAAGCACCAACTTTTAGGTTAGTCTTATGCTAGAATCACTTATGAAAAGGATGGACATCATACTTTTTGGAAATATGTGCTTATTGGTTAAGATCTTGCATTGTTAAGCCTTTTAGGACTTAAAGATTTGGATTTTGACCTTTTGGGTGTTCCTAATGGATAAAGTTAGAAACTTTATCATTCCAAATCACATTTTGGACCAGATATGAGCTTTGGAATTCTTGGAATCAAAGAAAATAACTTAATGCATTAAGTTGTTTGGAACCTTGGCTACCATGGAGTGATCATAGGTCACCATGACATGGCGAATGGGAATTTCCAAACTATTTGGTCGTATGCGGTCTGCGAAGTGGCCAAGGAAGACCACGATGTAGCAGTCAGCTGGAGTCAACATTGAGTGTTGAATTTGATCGTTGACCTTAAGGGTTGACTTTTTATTTGTGGATTTTTGTTCAACTATTAATGTCCTAATAGGTATATTAATGTTTTGCCTTGTGTGATTATCTAGGCGGCTTTTAGCACCTGTTGTGGGAAGAGTTCAGGATGATCGCATTGCACAAGCCACAATTTTATGCTCTATTGAGTGTAATGTACTTTTGGAATGTTTATGGATAATCTCTGAATACTTTATGGTTTTGATAAGCATGTTTGGTTGATGATTTATTTAATATAAAAACAAAAAAATGGTTCTGAGTTTTGGGACATTACAAGTTGGTATCAGAGCCTTGGTTTGAGAGATTCAACCATACTCTCGGGTGTGCCTAAACTCAAACTAAGGATTTTATAGATTTTTCATAAGAAGAAATGTTTTATAAAAGAATTTTCTATAAAACAAGAGTGTGGTGCATGAAATTGACCGAGCTCAAGTAAGTTTTCCCAAAATACCCAAACATGTTCTTGTGATATGCTTTGAATTGTGAACCTGTGAATCGCATGCTAGACTAGGGCTAAGTATCGACTCAGGATTTGCATGATAAAATGCCTTTATATGCCTATTGTATGAGCTTATAGACTTGAATGCTAGTACTGGATCAGTCAATGGTAGGATGGCGTGTTTAGGTTATACTTTGATTCAGATTATTCAATGCTCGAATGCAGCTTACCTTGTGCTTTTAGGATTTCCTATTAACATCAGCTAACTAGGAAGCGAATATGCTAAGTTATATATATTTTAGATTAGATAATTTAAGAAGGTTAGGTTTAACCCTATCGTACATCTCTTGTCTGAGTCCAACCTGTAACACCATGTTTATTAAATAAATAAATAGATAAAATTGATATAAGAATAGTCACCCTAAATCCATATTATTTAGTGGGGTGTTGTTTTGGGGAGCCACATGTTATAAGTTGGATTATTCAGGGGTTAAAGCGTAATTTCAGGACTTATTTTGTAAAGATTCTTAGAAGACGGGGGGTGTTTGGTAAGTATGGGACTTGATATGAAAGGATTTATGGAAGCATGGGCTAAAGAGTAAATTCTGGACTTGCTTTGAAAATAATTTTTAGAGGGAGGGGCTGCTTAGTAAAATTTGGACTTAATTTCTAAAGGGTTTTAGGAGGCAGGGTTTAAATGGTAAAATATAGGATCTGATTCGAAATGATTTTCATAGAGAGGGACCATTTATTCCATTATCGAATGAAGTTTACATGTGTGCTGGGTATAAAAACGCCCCATAATCCTAACCCTAGGAGTTGGATGCAGCCACCACCCTCCTTCTTCAATCTCCGGCGCCGCAACACCACCCATTTACTTCCGTTCTCCGGCTGGCAAAGACCACTGCCCCACTGTTGCTTTGCTGCCGATAGTCGTTGCTGTTGCCACCATTGCTTGTGACGTTCCAGTCGCCGGCATTGTCGTCAAAGCCCAAAACCACCGTTGAGGCGTCGTTACAGTCGGGAATATCATCGTTCGTGTTGCTGCCGCTGGCTATAGGCACAACTGTCACCGCCGTTCGCTGCCGCCATTCTTTTTATTCTTCCTTTTCATTCTGTCGCCGATGGTCATCGCTTTAGCGCCACCATCAGCCGCCATGGAAGTGGGTGATCAGAGGGAACTCATTTATGGTGCTTCGTAGTTGCTGCAGTTCCCGATGGGAGTTACCTACCCTCTTCACTCCTTCTTCCAGCTCCATTCGCCGCCACTATCGTCGACTGTCCCATTGTCTCCGTCAACGCCGCTTCTGTCACTTTCCCGTGATGTTTCCATCGCCGTACGCCACCAGGTGGGTGGCTCTAGTTCTTTTGCAAATGAAAATAGTTTGTGTTTGTGTTGAATATGGTGATGTTTGGCCGGAATTCACGAGAACAACCATCACCACCACCACGTATCACCGTCGGCCACCACAAGGGTGGCCGTGTGTGTGTGTTTATATTGGATTTGATATTCTATATTGTAATCGGTGATTTAATAATGAAAAGAAAACTCATAACCACCACCGTGAGGTGGTGGCTACCACCTCCTGCCGCCACCAGCCGCCGTGTTGGGTGGCGGTGTACTTTTGCTTGTGTTTGGATTGCTTTTGAGATGCTTGACATAATTGGACTAGAACCACAACCACCACTGCGAGGTGGTGGCCGCCACCATGTGCCACCGTTGACCACCACTAGCTGAGGTGGTAGTGCTTGGTGGCCGACTAAGGAAAACCCTAATTGTCCTAATGAAACCCTAATGGGCCTAAGGACTTAGCTTTTGGGCCTAATTGGATTGTGTTGGGTTAGAAACCCTAATTAGGGTTTGGAAAACCATAAGTTTGGTATTGTGTATTTTGGATTTGTCGGGACCCGTGTTTGGACCATTGAATTTGGGATTATGAATCAATCTCGACCACACTATATGATTGACCTATTAGATTTATGGACTTAATGGATTAAGTACTTAATGGGTTAAGTAGGAACACTTAACCCTAATCGTCATTTCATGTGAAAACCCAAATTTTACTTGGGTCTTGAGTTGGGCCTTTCTATTAGGTTATGGTGATTAGGCTATTGATGGGCCATCCAAGAATAATCATATGGACTAAGAATCTATGAATGGGCTTTAGGGTAAGGCCAATGTGAGGGTTTGGGCCAAATTAGGAAAATTAGGCCATAGATGGGCCACAATTGGGCCTTAAGGTTTATGAGAGGTTGGACCATTAGAATGCCAAATATTTGGACCAGACTAAATGTTTGGGCCTTCAGATAATCCCATATAGAGGTTTGGGCCCAATTTGGAAAATTGGGCCATATGTTGGGCCTTGGTTGATTATTGGGATTTTGGGCATTCAGAGTGTGAGTTTGGGCCATGGTTTCGAACCAAGCTAGGATAGGTGTAAAAAGGTCCATTTACCCCAAGTGTAGATTTATGGTTATGTATTGGAACCTAATTTATTAATTGGGTGTCGTTTTGATGATTGATAGTTCGGGAACCTATCAACCAGCAACTGGAGTTTGATCTACGGGACTTCAGCAGTGTCAGGTGAGTCTGCTCACCATACCAATGGGTCTAAGGCACTAAGGCCGACCCATTCAGTTAGTTGTAGTGTTTATTGTAGATTCACTACTGATATGTTTGGTATACATGTATATGTGGTATGCTAGTGGTTGACTACGTGGTATGTGGTATGATAGTTGTCTTTGTGATACATGCATGGAAGACCATGGGGGAGCCCATGTGTAGCACCCGATTCCTGGTATGTATTTTATTCGAATATATTTCTCATTTTGACCTGGGACTCGGCGAGTTGGTGGCCCAACTCATCGAGTAGAAGCAGATTGGACACAGGAGTTAAGTGAGCGACTCGTCGAGCCGGTGTCCAGACTCGACGAGTCCACACTATCCGGACAAAACCCTAATCTAAGGGGGTTTGCACCCTATTTAAACGTCTCATTCAGCCACCTTTCATCCCTATTGCTTCCAGAATCCTCCATATCGACCCTAATTGTGTGTGTGTGTGTGTGTGAAGATCTAAAGGCGTTTGAGTGATCTTGGGGGTTTATGATCAAAGGAAGGAAGGAAAGGCTTGAGGAAACAGGAAAAGGCTAAAGGAATTCGAGCTTGAGCATCATTTACAATCCGTCTGAGGTATATGGCTCATACCTTGTCCATTACTAAGCTAGATCTCTTCTTGAAGGAAAATAGGGCTTCTAGGAGCCATTCTTGGCAACCAACCATGATTGCAAGCATGGTTGGAGGCTAAGGCTTCAGATCCACGATCATTAAGGGACCCTAAGGCATAAAGTAGTTGTCTTTGAACCCATTGAATGCCCCATGCATATTAGGAGCCCCATTTTGAGCCATTTGAGCTCATTCTCCCATGCATGCACGTAAAGTTTGTAACTTTACGTGCTAGATCGATCTTTGGAGCCTAGAACTATCATTTGGAGAAGATTTGGAAACTTTGAGTTGACAAAACTAGGAGGTTGATCAAGATAAATTTCTTATTTCACGGCACCATATAGAAAGGAAATCTTAACGTCCATCTGATAAACTCTGAACCCCATGTAGGAGGCATACGCCAGGAAGATACGGATAGCTTCAAGATGCGTTACATGATCATACACTTCAGTGTAGTCAAGTTCTTCAATTTGCCAAAACCCACGAATGACCAAACGTGATTTTTTTGCACAATCACCCCACAATCATCTTGCTTGTTGCAGAACACCCAATGTGTGTCCAAAGACTTTGTGCCTTTTGGCAGCTCAACCAATTTTCACACCCCCAGTTTCTCAAACTGATTAAGTTCCTCGTGCATTGAATCCACCCAACTAGGCTCATTCAGTACCATTTCTACGTTCTTTGGCTCGATCTGAGAGATGAAGCAAGAGTAGAGACATGTGTTGACATCTCCATTCCGACTCCTCGATGATCGCGTTGAAGTTTGGTGGGGATTTCATGGCTGATATCATTGAATGTGACAGGAAGGATATTGATGTTGATAAGTCTGTCATCTGCTGATTCATCTGCCACATACGATCTTGAACCGTGAGAGGTTCTTGCTACGTACTCATTTGCAATTGGATCAGGAAAGAGAAGCTCCATGAAAGTTTGAGTAGCAGTAGAAGTAACTCTGGTCATGAACTCTCTTTCAGCAGGAGTGAGTGGAGCGACTTCAGCATCATGATTAATTGTTTGACTCGGAGAACCTGAAGAAGTGCTTGGAATAGAGTCCTCCACCCTAGGAGTCATAGAAGGCACCGGATGTGGTATGTATACAACATCTTCTTCTTCATCTTCAATAACAAGCTTCATACCTAAAAAAGAACCTAATACATCATCTGAAAACACATGAAATGATTTAAATAAAAAAGTGTAATCAAATAACCAGTCAGGACCGGCTCGGGCGTCTGTCTCATTCTCCTCCATTCGGAGTGCGTCGAACGATTCAACAATCTGCTTGGTTTTCTTGTTGTAGACACGGTAAGCAGTGCACCCAACATATCCCACGAAGTAACAATCATCAGCCTTCGAGTTGAACTTGGGGTTGGACTCTAAGTGAATGAGGGTGCAAGCATATCTAAAAATTCGGATGTGAGCAACGGATGACTTTTGATTGTACAAAATTTCATATGGGGTCTTCATCTGGGCTTTGTTGATCATGACATGATTCTGGACGTAGCAGGATGTGTTGATCTCCGCTGACCAAAAGAAGACTGGAGGTTTAGAATCATATAGCATCGTCCTTGCGGCATGCATTAGAGTACGAGTATGCCGTTCAACATCACTATTTTGTTGAGGTGTGTGAACAACACTGCACTGATGCATTATACCCTTTTCGACACAAAAGGATCCAGAACAGTGCTCTCTAATTATATGCCTTTATCCGTTTTGAGTGCCTTCACTTTCTCATTTGTTTCATTCTCAGTCATCACAACGAACTTCTTAATCAGATCAGCAATTCCGCTCTTGTTGGATAGGAAGAAAACCCAAGTGAACCTCAAGTATTCATCTACCACAACCAAGTAATAGGATCTCTTGTTGATGCTAAGAACGTTGACAGGACCAAATAAATCCATGTGCAACAATTGGAGAACCTTGTTGATTGAGTTTACTTCCTTTAGCAAATAGGGCTTGCGATGATGTTTTCCTTGTGCACATGGCACACATTTTTCAAAAGTACTGAAGTCTTTGACAGGTAGGTCACACATTATCTCGTTCTTGGCAAGACAATTCAGGTTCTTGGTGTTTGCATGACCAAGTGACGATTCTAAAGCATGGAATTGTGCTCAGAGACTTTAGAGAAGAGGCATGTGACTTGCTCCGGGATATTATGATTCAAGTCTATGATGTAAGAATTTCCATCCCGTTTTGATTTCACTAAGATCCAATCTTCAGGAATAATGATTCCAGGCATCAAAATAAGGCATTCTTTACTAGTGAAGTGAGTTGAGTAGCCTTTGTCGCAGATTTGAGAGACACTCAATAGGCTATGCTTCAACTCGGGAGCGTAATTAACGTTCTCAAAACTCAACACTCCGTTGTTAATAGTTCCTCTTTGTGTGATCTTTCCAAATTCTCCTCCCACGAAGGAAACATAACCCCCATTGAAACTTTGAATGTTATGCAGTTGGGATATGTCTCCTGTCATGTGCTTGGAACAACTACTATCGATATACCAAGGTCTGACAACATTCCTCCGTAGCTTTTCCTGTCGACATACACCGACTTTCCCTTTTTAGCAAAAAAAAAAAAAAAATCTTTTTCACTTTTTGATTTTGATTTATCACCTGATGCACAAGAAGAAGATTGAGATGATTGGACATTTAAGTTCTTGGGCACCCATTGGTATTTAGGTTTAGAAACATTTACATGTGATTTTGAAACAATTTTCTTTTGTTTTGATTGTTTGGTTTTCCGTCTAATATTATCCGAAGAACCACACAAAGACTTTGACGAACCCGACCTTGACTTAGCCGCGTTCGGTTTCATGATAGTACATGTTGTATATTCATGAAAAACCTATTTATCCTTTTTAAGCTCAGCCCGTTTCTTGTCCTTATTGACATTCTAATCATCATCACAAGAACGAGGTCTCGAGAAATTTCTTACGAGAGATCTTTCTCGCCACTTGTTCTCTCTTCTGTGCACGTGAAAAGGAACAAATGCACGATTTGGACAATTGCATGCGATATGTCCAGCAGTTCCATAGTTAAA